ATTGGAGGTGGGTGTCCTAATCTAAATAATGACCAAATAAAAATATATTCATCACAATTTGAACATTGCCAGAACAAAATTACAGCAAAATCACAATACTGCTAACAAAGATAACTAAAGCACCATTAGAAGTATTACAAAAATTATATATCTTTCTTCAATTTTCTTAATATACTTCTTAAAAATAAAAATATTTTTTCATGTAGAACATCTGTAACTCCTTTTTGTATCAAATAGCATGCGAAAATTGTTAAATATGAATTTCACAATTTGGAAATATGTCAAAAGTCATAGAGAAAACACGGCATTCCAAGATACATAAAATTTGAAAACCAAAATAAAAATGAAACTTCACAATTTGGAAATATGTCAAAAGTCATAGAGAAAACACGGTATTCCATGATACATAAAATTTGAAAACCAAAATAAAATTAAACTTTTGTCCTACAATGCGACTTATTAATACAAATAGCATGCGAAATGCATAATACAAAGGCCACACCAAGATTTTTTTCTAAACGGAGTGAGAGCTTGATTCAAATTTTTATTTGGGTCTGTGACGTTCTTTGGAAGAGCGACGAATTGACTTAGATTTTTCCTTTAATCCTTGGCTGTCCTTCAAAGAATGATGGCTCGCCTTAGACTTCTCCTTAGATCTGTGGCTTTCTTTGAGAAAAAGAAAGTTTGACGTATGAATATTGTTGGAAGAGAGAGAGCAAGATCTAGATTTTTTATATTGATGACTCTTATTAGATCTTCTCTGTGAAGAGCCATCTTCCTGTTTACGCCATGCAGCATTTACTAGCCACAGGCTAGTTGCCGATTCCACTAAAGTAAGATTAAAATTTTCATCTTTAGCTACAAATGCACCTGAAAATATGTATAATTTTTAAGGTATGAGATGTAAAAACAAAATAAAATTTTAAGAATGAAAACAATTTTCGAAATTTTACATTTTTCTGGCTAATTACTGTTTACTAATAAAAAGAAGATTACCTTCAATTACAGAATAAAGTTTCAAACTTTGAAAAACTCTTTTAGTACCAGTTCCTTGAAAACTGAACTCTTTAGCCAAAGAATTGATCACAATATTCCTTAGAATTTTGAAAGTGGATACTTTAACCTTTTCCAGATTCACGTACCGTGACATGTAAGCATACTGCAACACATATAATTTCTGAATTATTGTACTACAAAGTTCGTAGAATAACTGAAGAAGTAAAAAATAAATAAAATCATTATTAAAAGT